AAAACAAACGACGTCACACAGTCACCTCGCGAAGGGGTCGTATTTATGGTGGGGCCGCGTCTATATGAGGTACCCCGGACTCTCTGGCAGGTATGGGAAATGTAAACAAACATCGCCAAGGTGTCGGGCGGGGAATGATAGAACTACGGTCAAGAGACCTGTGAGCGGGCAAGTATGGGAGAACAAAAGAACGACGGAGTCAAACGGTGGATTCTGCTAGACCGATATTCGACGAAATAGAGTGACGACTAAGGGTGCGTTCGGGCAGCTCGCTACTAGCTCCGTTCACGGAGCCAAGATAGCGCTAATGAATGCGAGCTCCGTGAACAGCAATAGCATAGCGTGGTAGCGTGCGTCTGCCAATAAAAATGGAACAAGATCGTAAAAAAGCAATATTAACAGCAGTAGCACTTATAATACAAGAATTAATAGATTCATCGTCTAACAGTGATAATGGTAAAGATTTAAAAATAATAAAATAGAGTATGAATGTAAGAAAACATGTACCATGTATTAACATTAAAAATTAAAATATCGGCATTTCTCACAATTTCCGTTGAATTATTAGATGAATGTTTGTAATAAAATTAGGTGTTATTATTTTCAACACGTTAAATGCTGGACCAAAGATCCAGTCCAATTATAAATCTTTTGTCCAATATTAAACTAGTTGGAAATAATAACACCAATTTTGTTACAAACATTCATCTGATAATTCAACGGAAAATGTGAGAAATGCCGATATTTTAATTTTTAATGCCGAGACATGGTACATGTTTTCTTACATTTATACTCTATTCTATAATTTTTCATTCTTCACCATCATCACTCTCAGACGATGAATCTATTAATTCTTGCATTATAAGTGCTACTGCTGTTAATATTGTTTATTTACGATCTTGTTCCATTTTTATTAGCAGAAGCGCGCTACCACGCTATGCTATTGCTGTTCACGGAGCTCGCAAACGCTAACGCTATCAACACACTACCTCGGAAGGAATAGCGTTGATAGCGCGCAGTTATGACGTATCACACAACCATTAATGACGTCATAATTGCGTTTGGTAGCACTACCAGCTAGCTCCGTGAACAGTCGATAGCGCTAATAGCGTCTCCCCGAACGCACCCTAAGGGGGCTTCTATGCAAACGGTATAGAGCGCGCGCCGGTATAGCGAACAAAAGAACGCAGCGACGAATGATCGGACGCCTTTTAGTCTGATATTCGGCATGTTGGTTAAGGGGGCAGCGTTATCGCGTGAACGGAGTGAGCCACCCGTTTTTGCGGATTAAGCGCGCTGTATGGATTGGGGAGTGCAGGAACATGTGAAAAGAGGAAGGAAACAAACACGAGAAATGGAATACAAAATCGTTTATTTAAAATTTTTCTTAAGAATACATAATTGAACATTACAGTCAAAATATAAAAATATTTTATTTGACTTACTGAATACGTTCTAAAAATATTATTTTAAAGCATGCATCGAGAAATGTTAAATATATAAAATAAAATGTTTTATTTGAAATTTTTTAAAATACATCGTTGAATATTACAACAAGTACTTGTACGTACTTTCGTTTGCTCATTTTTTTTACAATGAAAAATTTTGCGATATAAGCATACTATCAGTCTGTCGTTTTGGTTATAATCATCGGTGAAAAAACGAAGAAATTGTTCAAGGTTGTAACCAAGAGACAAATAGTAAAGAAACATGCAACAATATTGGCCGCATGTTTGCGAAAAAAATCCTTGTAGTTGCACGATGTTCCATCGATACGTGGTGGAATTTCGTCGAAGTCGCAGATGAAATCGTTGATCCGAGTGTGGCGGGATTCCGTAACTATCGAAATATGTGCCGGTACCGTGCTCGTCAATATAAAAGGCGACCCAGTGTCTTCCGGGGCGATCATGCTCGTCTGTATTAGCGACAATGGCTGTCGACCTCGTCCACACCCTCGGTAGTCTGTCGACAGGATAGACTCCCGCATATCTGACATTGAGACGACGCAACGCATGTAAGATTTCCAGCGAATTTATTTGTCGCGTAACAAGACGGTGCTCGTGCGCGAGGACTTATTTGTATAGTAGAGTCGCAGGGGTTTATCTCTTTTCGCGTAGAGTAGACGTTCTCGAATGATTGTGCGGAGATAGTTTGTTGAGCGTTGCTATCGGTAGGATATTCTTCTTTCTTTACATACGGTATATCTTTTGCAATGTAATTACGTGATTGATTCTTGTCTTCTTCTTCTTTTTTTCGTAGCGTTACGCCACGCCTCGATATTGCAAATTATATCGAGATTTTTATTCTTTTTCATAAAAACGCCGCTGTCAGCTTTTTCGCTTATGCTCCAATTTTCATGAGAAAGATCATCGCAGCTCGAAACGATGCTACACTTACTGCTGGTGTTTTGAGCGCCTATCCAACGTTTCAATTTGCCGGCGTTGCGTAACGCGCAAAGAAATTTGTCTGTAGAGCAGTGCTCGGAATTAGTTGAACATTTCAGCCGATTTCCGCGGTATACGCCTTCTTTCTCTCTACCGCGCGCGCCGCAGCCGCTAGGACCAGCGCCGCCGAGCGTTAGGAGCGGCACTATCTGATTATGAGTGAGTTCTTCTCCCTATTTATTAAAATTAAAAAAATTTATTAAATTTATTAAAATAATTTTTATTTTAAATTATTAAGTGGAATATTTCAATAAATTTCCACGTCACCCATGAGGTACTAATGCCGACGCGTTTTTTT